ATCAGGCGTAGAGAGCTCCCTGGCCACCCGTTAAGTGGCCACTAGTTGGCGCCAGTTTGGATTAGTCAAAGGGCCGTACTTGAGGACCTACATGTGGACTCAAGGGCACAGGTTCCCCTTAGTTCAGATGTGACCTCAGACTTACTAGCTTGATGTCCCCAAGTAAGTGACTTCCCCTCTGTTTGCCTCAGTTTTCCTCAGCTGCAGAAGAGGGATAATAACAGCACCTGCCTCCCAGGATCATCATGAGATGATGATTCTGAAATGCCTGGCGCTGCATGAATGTTTGTTCCCCTCCCCTTTTCCCACTCCCAAGGTCACAGAGCCAGCGTGTGCCATCAGAGGCAGACCCGAAATTTTGATCTTCCTGGCCCACAGGCAGCTCTCTGTCCCCTCAGCCTTGCTGCCTTTCTCACAAAAGAGATTATGGATATAAAGACATGCTTTTTTAAAAGTTGGGGATTTTTTTAAAATGCATTTGTGACCTGTGCTGATCCTGTCCCTTTTCCACCTCCAAAAACTAGACTAACGGCAAATCATTTGAGATTGTCAAGTAAAAGATGCCAGATTGCACAAGTAGTAGTTCACCAAATACAGAAGGGGCCTAACAGTGGTTAAACTGGACAATACCCCCTCTAAACTTCGGGCCTAAGGGGTTGATAATCCCCAGAGCGCTAGCCCCTTCTCTTGGCTCTCAGGAGGCTTTTTCTGCTGCCTGCCTTTGTCTGCCTTCCTGCAGGGCAGCATCACTTACAGGTGACAGTCTCAGCTTCCAAAGAGCCCTTGTGACTTATCTAGCACACAATCTCTCAGTGGAAGGCCATTTGGCATCTGACCGAGTTGCCCGGCACCATGGGGGTCGCCAGAGAAGCAGGCTCATAATCTCCGGGAAGGGCCTGGAGGACTATCCTGCCTGTGTCCAGAAGACTGTCCTTTGTGCTCTGTTACAGGCATCTGTCTCATGGGTGAGTTCTTAAAAAGAGGCGGGAGGGACACTGTCAGTGGTTGGTTCACCGTAGATCTAACTACAGGAATTCAGACATGGCTGCCCTCTCCTCTCCTCGGCCCCACTGGTATCCTTGGCAACGCTGAAACAGCAACCAGGTGACCTGGCAGTTTCTGTGATATTGATGACATTTCTTGGGGGCCAGGCTTGGGCAGGCATCCCCAGGAGGCTTGGGAAAGGCAGGTGGGAGAAGACACGTCTCCTGTCTGCCCCCAGTTCTTCATTAAGAAGCAGCTTGTCAGGGTGAAGAGAGCGGGTGGGACCCGTGGAGTCACCTAGTCCAGGGGTTCTTTTATTTAATACACTCTGAGAAGGAGTCATCAGATTGCCAAAGGAGTCCACGACACACAAAGCTGAGAACCCTGATCTAGTCCGACCTCTTTTTATTTTGTCATTAAACAAAAAGCTACTTTCCCTCCTCCCCACTGGGGGAAAAAAATAGCCCTCATAACAAATATGCACAGACAAGCAATACAAACTCCCCCGTTGGTCGTGTCCAAAAATGTATGTTTCCTTCCATGTGTGTTATCCATCACCTCTCTACCAAGACGCGGCCTGCAGCCTTCGTCATGGGTCCTTCATCGTTGCTCTGCATTGACCAGAGTTCTTACATCTTTCACAGCTGACTGTCTTTACTGTGTTGTAATTGTATAAAGTGTTCTCCTGGCTCTACTCCATTCTATCCATTCTTCCCAGGTTTCACGGAAACCATATACCATCATTTGTTTAGCCATTCCCCAGTAGATGGGCACCCCTCAGTTTCCCATTCTTTGCTACCACGAAAAGATCTGCTATAAATATTTTTGTACACGTGGGTGCTTTTCCTCTCTCTGAGTCTTAGTAGTGGTATTGCCGCCAACTTCCCCATTTTATGGATGAGGACACTGAGGCCTAGAGAGCTTAAATGACTTGCCCAGTGTCAAATAAATAGTGTCATTTGTGGGATTTGAATCCAGGGCCTCTGACTCCAGAGCCAGGATTCTTTATGCAGTACTACCTTGCAGGAAGACCTGGGTTCAAATCCCAACTCAGTCAATTACTAGCTTGCCCAAGTGTGACCTTGGGCAAGTCAGCCTCCAAGCCTGAGGTTCCTTATGTGTAAATCGAGCATACTAAATAGCTCCTGCCCCACTGGGCAGTTGTGGCATCTGTTAGCCCTCTCTTGGCTACATCTCCAGCTGCCATCATTCCCTGGGCTCTGTCCCTCTCCAGAGCCTGCTCACCCTTCGCTTCTTCATGGTGCTGAGCTGGAACCCCCAGCCCCCTGGCAACAGAGCAGCCCTCTTCTGTCTCAGCTGCTGCACTGATTGTTGGAGTGATGTCGGCTATGTTTTGTACCCCACAAGTGATGTAATTTGTGTTTGCACTGAGAAACAGTCTTGGGTCATAGATTTAGAACTGGAAGGGGCCTTTGGAGGCCATCTGGTCCAACCTCATTTTTCAGATGAGGAAACTGAGGCCCATACAGGAGAAGGGACTTCCTCAAGGTAACTTAGGTACTAAGTGGCAGAGCTACGATTTAAACCCAGTTCTGACTACAAATCTAGCCTTTCTCTTGTACAATATTGCCTCCCTTTGTCTTGTGCTATCAGTGTGTGAACAGACATCACAAACTCAACGTAGCAGAAATGGAAAGAGTATGTGTGTGTGTGTGAGTGTGAGAGAGAGAGGGACGTGTACATGCATATACATATATGTCCCCCACTCTCCACTCTCACAGCAGACACCAGGCCAGAGGGCATGAGGCCTTGACCACTGCAGTAGCCTGCTGGTTGGCTTCCTGACCTCCTGTCTCTCCCCATTCCAGTCCATCCTCCCTTCAGCTGCCAAAGGGAACTTCCTAAAGTGCACAGCTGGCCATGTCCCGGCTGCCCCCCAACTTCAGAGGCTCCCTCCAATGTGAAATGCTCTGTTTGGCTTTGAAAGCCCTTCATAACCAGGCCCAGTCTTCTAATGCCTTGCTCACCTCAGAGGGCTGTAGAGTCCCTCTCCGCTGGCCCTGTTGTTCCTTACCCAGGACACACTATCTCCTGGCTCTTTGGCTTGGCACATGCTCTCCCCTGTGCCTGGAGTCCTTTCCCTCTTCACCTCCTCCTCTTGACTTATTTCAAGACAACTCAGATCCCACATTCTAGGTTCCCTCCAGTGCTAGTGGGCATCTAGGGGGCGTAGTGGATGGAGCACTGGGCCTGGAGTCAGGAAGGCTCCTTTTCATGAGTTCAAATCTGGTCTCAGATACTTACTAGCTGTGTGATCCTGGGCAAGTCATTTAACTCCTGTTTGCCTCAGTTTCTCCGTCCATAAAATGAGCCAGAGAAGGAAATGGCAAACTACTCCAGTATCTTTGCCAAGAAAACCCCCAATGGGGTCACGGAGAGTCAGACACAACTGAAGTGACTCAACAGTAACCATTGCTAGTACCTGAGGTTCCCTTCCGTGTGCATTGTGTATGTCTCATGTATGGATGGGGGGGAGGGAAGGGAACAAGCTTGTAAGCACCTACCATGTGTCAAGGCACTGTGCTGAGTTCTTTACAAATATCACCTCATTTGATCCATACAATGACCCTAGGTTTGACAGTTGAGGAAAATGAGGCAGGCCACAGTTAAATGACTTGTCCATGGTCATAAAGCTAGTAAGCATCTGAGGCCGGATTCTAAATCAGGCCTTCCTGACCCCAGGCCCAGAGTTCTATCCACTGCACCGCTTAGCTGCCCTGGATGTTTGCATGTTGTGCCCTGTCCCCCGTTAGAATGTGAGCTCATGGAGGGCAGGAATTGTATCTTTTCTCCCCCCTTGCTTTGCTACTATGTGCTTGGCACCTAGTAGGTGCTTAATAAATATTTGATGATGATGAATTCTTTACTGAACAGGTTGGTGTGAGACTCAGATAAACTGTCTTGGGTACAATTAGGCAACAACAAAAATTCCCCAAAGAAACATCCAGTCCAAAGTCCATTGACTGTAACCATTGATCATAGAAAATGAGCTCTTGTGGGGTGGGGAGGTTCATGGGATTTAGGGGAGGGTTATTGCGTCCCCATCCAGGGTGAGGTAGGGTTTGTAGTAGGTGTTTTATAAATGCTTGTTGAATGGGCAGTATTCCTTTGCATTAGAGTCAGCTACACACAACCAAACATGACATGAGGGCTCCCCCTGATTCCTGCCTAGTTTGGTCCCAGCACCGGCTGCCTGGGCCTCACCTGGCAGAGGAGGAAAGAGAAGGCCACCACCGCCTACACAGGGCAGACCCAGTCAATAAACAAGCACTTCTGAAAACCAATACAAAATAGCCCCCACCCTCACTGAGCTTACATTCTTTTGGGGGAGAAGCCACATGTGCCCGTGTAAATCGGCAAAAATGTACATGGAGTGATTTGGGGAGACCAAGAAAGGCCTCATACAGGTGATGATTGGCTCCTAGTTGGAAGGGGCCGTCGGGAGAAGGGAGATGGGACGTTGTGTGTGAGGAACAGCAGGAAGGCCAGTGACTGAGACCTAGAGTGCGTAGAAGAGAGGAGTGAGTGGTCAGCCTGGATAGGGAGGAGAGAGCCACGTGGTAAAGGTCTGGCTTATTTTTAAATGTTGAGTTTGCGTTTTATCGCAGAAGTAGTCAGAGGCCCCTGCAGCTTTCTGAGCAGGGGACTGAGAGCGTACCCATGCCCTCACTGTGCCAGCTCCCAGTGTGAACATACCAGTTTAGTCCCTGCGCTAGCCCTAGCTGAGAAGGAGAGCACGTATTGTCCCCATTTTATAGATGAACAAAAGGAGACTTGGAAAAAAGGGAGCATTTTGCCCTGGCCCATGCTAGCTGTGGGTAGGTTGGGCCCCAAGCACCAGTCTCTTGACCCCAAGGCACCACCTGCCACTCCCTACATCCCAGGAATGTGCAGAGAATTTTCTCTTCAAGGAACCTCCACTGGGGAGACAGTTTGAGTGAAAGGTGTCCAGTCCAGGCTCAGAGGCACTAACACAAGTCTGGTTTTGTGTTTAGACTGAAGAAGCTGGAGCTAAGTCCTCTGGGCAAATCTGACGTCCGGATAAAGATTCTGGCAGCCCCTGTCAATCCAGCTGACATAAATATGATCCAAGGTAACCTTGGTCTTTGGTTTATGTTAACTGGCATCTTGCCTGCGAGCCAGCTCATTTCCTTTCCTGTGCTGGAGTGGGAGTAGGGTTCCTGTCTCTGAGCTACAGATGATGTCAGCCGAGTGGGTGGCTCAGGCCTGTAATCCTGGGGCAGGTGGAGGCTGGTGGATCACTTGAGCTCAGGACCTCTGAGCTGCAGCAGGACTAAAGCCAATCAGGTGCCCACGCTAAGTTGGTCACCAGTGCGGTGGCCCCCAGGGGCACAGGACTGTGGATGCCTAAGGAGGGACGAATGACCCAGGTCAGAGATGGAGCAGGTCAAGTTTCCATGCCAGTCAGCAGTGGAATTGGGCCCCTGAGGGTCAAGATGGGGAGGCACTAGTTTTGGTTTATTTTTTAAGATAGTTACATCACATAAGGTCCCCAGCCTGTGAGCCATGGACTCATGAGAGATTGAGTTATTCCAAGGGTCTGAAAATCCACAAGGAAACCAAGAATGCTCAGTTCCATCATAGCCAAGAGTGAAACCGTCCATCTTGTTCATTGACTCAGGAGGACGAATAAACAATCACACCTGTGGTAAACGAGGGCTTCACGTTTAGGGTACTGTTTGTCAGCTGTATGCAAATGATGTGATTAACAAAATACAAATTCATTTAAAAGGAAAGGGAGTAATCATTCATATAGTGCCTGTCGTGACTATGCTGACCTCTTTTTTACAAATGGGATCTAATTTCATCCTCACAACAACCCTGGGTGGTAGGGGCTGTTATTATCTCCTTTTTACAGTTGAGGAAATTGAGGCAGACAGAGGTTAAGTGACTTGCCCAAGGTCACACAGCTACTAAGTGTTTGAGGCTAGATATTAACTCAGAATAATATCATTGAATTCATAGTAGCTTTTTGTCATCTTTCATTTTCTCTGTCAGTATTAATAGTATAGCTGTTATTGTGGGGGGTGGGCACCTGTGACATTTTTTGACATTCAAAAGGGTGCTTTATACTGGAAGTGGTTGGGGATCACTGAGCTGGCATGTCAAGCCTCTTTAAATAGAGGGAAAAGTACCATGACACAAGGAAAGGAGTGTTTGCTGTGGAGTCAGAGGACCAACCTGGGTTCCAAGCCTGCCTCTGATGCTGCCTGTGGGCTGGTCACTTAGCCTCCCTGGGCCTCAGTTTCCCCATCTATAAAAGGAAGGGTTGCCTTGGATGGCCCCTGAGGTCCGTTCCAGCCCCCATGCTGTGACCCCCTGCCATTTCCCTGTTTGAAAGTTTAAAAGTTAAAGGGAGAGTCGGTTACGGTCTGTGCTTTTTTCTGCCCCCAGGGAAATATAGCATCCTTCCTGAGCTGCCTGCCATCGGAGGGAACGACGGGGTTGGCCAGGTGGTAGAAGTGGGCAGTGCAGTGATGGGAGTAAAGCCTGGGGACTGGGTGATCCCAACTAATATTGGTTTCGGTAAGTTCCTCTAGGGCCCTGCTGGGTCAGGCCTGATGTCTTTTCCTCCTCAGGGCAGCCTTTTTGGAGCCTGTGTATTCATTGCCAATCTCATTAGTTTCCTTCAACAAATATTTACCATGTACCTACACTCTGGGAAATTCCAGTGTTCCTTTAATGAGCCCAAGCTTCTCCCTGAAACAGAGGCCTTCTTTTGAACATGAGTATTCTTCCAGGGATGGTGTAGGGATGTGGGGTCCCTGAGTCCCTGTAACCTCTGAAGAAGTAAAGCTGAGGGTTACCCAGAGATCCACAGGGAGGCACAGGGTGAGTGAGAGCAGGCCACAGAACATAACTGTGGAATGATGAAAGAGGAGAGGTGTCAAGGATCCCTTGAAGAAAACTGGAAGAAGAAAAAGAAAGAGGGATGGGCCTCCCATGTGGCAAGAGTTAAGGCTGACTGATATCCACAGAATGTCCAGAGAATGTCAGAGTGTGCTCTTTTTGGCAAACGTACAAAAATGGCAGGTGAGAGCCACAAAGGATGGCCAAGCTTGGATGGATTGTAGTCTGCATCTTTACAGGGAATTCCCACACCCATGAGCTCACAGGTCCACCAGAGCAGGATGTCTTAACCTAGGGCCATGAACTTGTTGGTTTTTAACAACTTGGTAACTGTTTCCATGAAATAGGTTTACTTTGTAATCCTATGTATTTTATTCATCCACTAGATCTTATGCATTTAAAAAGATGATTCTGAGCAGGGGCCCATAGGCTTCATCAGACCCTGCCCAAGGACTCCCATGACTCAGAAGAGATTCTAAGAACCCCTACCCTGGCATATCTGGAATACTATGCACAATGTCCTGTCCTGGAGACTGGAGGGGATGCAGAGATCAGATGTGATTCTGGGCTTGCAGGAGGATAACTAATCATTGGGTCTTAGATACTGATACTTAGATACTGAGCCAGAAGGAATCAGCTGGCCAGTACACTCAAATTTATTAAGCACCTACTATGTGCCAGGCACTGTGCTAAGCACTGAGGATAGAAGGTCAGAAGACAGCCCCCCCCCAAGGAGTTCCCAGTCTAATGGGGGAGACAATATGCAAACAACTCTGTACAAACAAGCAATAGAGGGGCAGTTAGGTGGCACAGTGTATAGAGCACTGGCCCTGGAGTCAGGAGGACCTGAGTTCAAATCCAGCTTCAGACAGATAACACTCACTAACTGTGTGACTCTGGGCAAGTCACTTAACCCCAATTGCCTCACCACAAAAATGTAAAGAAGCAATAGACAGGATTAATAAGCCAAGGGAAAGCACAGAGGAGGAAACTGAGCCTGAGGAGGAGTTAAGTGCCTTGGCAGACTCACAGCTAGTAAGCGCCAGAGGCTGAGCAGTCAGCTGCTGGGCCTGATTGTTTCCCCTTGTGTGTTAGCTATGAGCCCCCAGCTCCTCTTCTTTGAGGCACCCTCACTCCACCCACTCCCAGCTCCCCTGTTGAGTGGGATGGGCCTGGTTTCCCAGTTTTCTTTCCCAGCTCACCCTGACTCCAGCAAGCACACAACAAAGCTCTTTTGAGGCTTTCAGTTCCTCCTAACTAACGGGAAACTGATGGGGATTAAGAAAAAATGAACAATGAGGAAATCAGAACTTTACAAGCAATCTTTCCAAATCTGTGGTAAGAGGCTACAGCTGTTCTCTTTTTCTGGGACCTTGGCACATTGCCACTTGTCTCTGGATCTCCATTTCCCCTTCAAGCAAGGTAGTTGGGCTAAATGATCTCGACAATCTCATCTGAAGCTCAATGATTCTGTTCCTCAGCCTAACCTTCGGAGCAGAGGGCATAGGTGTAGAGCTGGAAGGAATCCTGGAGGCCATTGAGGCCAGTTGAGGAAACTGAGGCAGCAGTGAAGTTAAAGGTCACACAGCTTAGAATCAGCTGGTCAGTGCACTCAAATTCATTAAGCGCCTACTATGTGCCAGGCACTGTGCTAAGCTCTGAGGATAGAAAGTCAGAAGACAGCCCCCCCCCCCCAAGGAGTTCCCAGCCTAACGGGGGAGACAACATGCAAACAACTCTACACAAACAAGTGATAGAGGGGCAGCTAGGTGCCGCAGTGGATAGAGCACTGGCCCTGGACTCTGGAGGACCTGAGTTAAGGGGGCTCATAGCTAACACTTGGACACCTTGTCCAGGGTCACACAGCCCCCACCCCCTTCACCGAATCCTCTTTCATAGCTCTTTCTTTCAGACCCTCTCTAGCCCTCCAACTCTCTAAGCTTTAATTATTACTGGTGTTATCTCCTGTTCATCTTTTTGGTGAGGTTCAGATAGAAACGACTTTTATCCTGGGGCTCCTCTTTTATAATTTAGTGTTCTGAAAACTGTTGTGCACAACAGATTGTGCATTGTCTATAAAACGACTGCGTTTAGTTATTAATGTTATCATTCCACTCTTGGGGCTCATCTCTTCCCTGCTTCTGTGTCCCTCCCCCCTCACCAGGGTTTATGTACACCTACTTAGAAAACTCAGGCCTGGTGCCTTCATCTGTCCAAAAATCCTGTGAATTTTATTTGATCCACTTAAAAGCCTTATTCTGAGAAGGAGGTCCGTAGCTTTTGCTGCACTGCCAAAGGAGTCCGTGACATTTTTAAAAAAAAAAGGTTCAGAAGCCTTGCTTCCATATCCTGATGCCTCAGTCTGTCATTGCCCACTCCTTTGACATGGCAAAGCACCAGAAGTATCCTCCTGGAAGAGCCTGGAGGGATCAGTGTGACCTTTCCCTGGCTCCAGTGTCCTCAGATTGGTTTCTCATGCCCCTGAAGACCCTGCCCTGGGCATACCCTGGGACTGAGCGACATCCAGAATGAGGACAGCTCTCCGGAAGTGCCCATGGCTGTACTATTTCCCCTCAATCAAACATTTATTAAGTGCCTGCTGTGTGCCAGGAGCCCTCCAGGAGCTTACAGTCTAATAGGAGAGACAACAAGCAAGCAAATCTGTATAGTACAGGCTGTGTATGGAGTAAGTAGTTGTTCAGTCAAGAAAACCCATTTGGGGTTTTCTTGGCAAAGTATTGAGGTGTTTTGCCAGATGGGGAAACTGAGGCAAACAGGGTGAAGTGACTTGTTCAGGGTCACACAACTAGTAAGTGTCTGAGGCTAGATTTCAACTCAGGAAGATGAGTCTTCCTTCTCCAGGTCTGGTGCTCTATCCATTGAACCACCTAGCTGCCGCATGTAGAATAAGTGGGAAGTAATTAAGAGAGGGAAGGCACTGGAATGAAGAGGGGTTGAGAAGGCTTCCTGTAGAGGGTGGGATTTCAGTTGAAACTTAAAGGAAGACAGTAAAGTCAGTAGTCAGAGGGGAGAGGGAGAACATTCCAGGCCTGGAGCCCAGAGATACTGTCTTGTTTGTGGAACAGTCAGGAGGCCAGTGTCACTGGATCACAGAGTACTTGGAGGGGAGTGAGGTGTAAGAAGACTGGAAAGGGAGGAGGGGGCTCTAAATTAAGAAGGGCTTTGAATGCCAACCAGAACATTTTGTATTTGCTCCTGGAGGCAACAGGGAGCCCCTGGAGGTTGTTGCAGCCTATTGGCGGGCCCTTGGTGCCCACTGCCCACTGTCCCCAGGAGAACTGCCAGAGCTGTTAGAGATGTAGCAGCTGGATTAGGGTTTCTGGGGCTAGGTCAAGTCCCCCTCCCCTTCAGACGCCCGAGGAAGTAGGTCCTTTGAACAGCCAGCCCAGCCACCCCACCCATGGACGAGCAGAGGATGGTTGGCATCTGGACAGTCTAGGGTCCGGGCCTGCTGGCATTAAGGCCATTGCTCTCTGTACCACAGGATGGGATGGCACAGACACTTTGGTTATGCAATTATTCCAGGAAAGGGAAACCTTCAGTCTAGAGGAGGGGAGGGGGCAAGGGAGGGGCTGGTTCTGATCCCAGAACAGCCTGGGATTGTTTTTCTGACCACAGATTAACAAAGAAGGCCCAAAGTCACATCCCTAGCTCTGTGCCAGGTCAGTGAGGGTGACTTTGGATTCCGCTCTGGGTCAGTGTCCGGGCATCTGTACACATGGAATGGAGCAGAGACTCCCATTTCCCTTTCATTCACTTTGCTCTCTAGCCTCCAGTGGAGGGGCAGTTGCTGCTAAGCGTTTGTGGCCTACCCTGGGATGGAGTTAGAGGCAGACAGACAGCAAAACCCTGGGAGGCTAAGGCTTCCACGTGCACCCACCCATTGCTTCTCCGAGACTCTTCTCACTAGGACCTCCTAACATTCCCTTTCCTGGAGTCGTTGTATAACTAAAGTGTCTGTGCCATTCCATCCTGTGGTACAGAGAGCAATGGCCTTAGTGCCAGCAGGCCCGAACTCTTCTGGCTCTGGCTGCTATGTGACCGTGGGCTGGTCACTGCCCTTCTCTTGAGTCTCAGCCTCCTCATCTGTCACATGACAGGTTAGAGTGAACGGTATCTGCACCTGATCTCACTTTTGTAGGGTGGTTTTTTGTTTCATTTTGTTTTTAACTTTGGGGAATTTTTTGGGCTGGGATTTGTGACTTCATAGATATAGGGAACTTCCAGTGAGAAAACTCCTTGAGTCAACTAACAAATGAGAAAGCTTTTCTGAAAAGCTTGTTGTTGTCATTCAGCTGTGTCCCACTCTCCCTGACCCCCTCTGGGGTCTTTGTGGCAAAGTCACTGGAGTATTTGCTGTCTCCTTCTCCAGCTCATTTTACAGATGGGGAAACTAAGCACTGGGGATATAAAAGACAAAAATGAAGCATTCCCTGCCTTCAGGAAGCTGATGTTCTGTAGAGGAAGACTATATGTATAGACATGAGCATGTGTAGTCTAAATATATGCAGAATCGATACAAGGCAATGGGGGATGGGGGAGGGGATTCAGGAATTAGGGTTCCTGCTAAAGGCCAGCAGCTGCTCCCTGACTTAAGATGAGGTAATAAATGAAGTGCTGGGCTTGGAATGAGCAAGGCCTGAGGTCAGTCAATCAGTAAACATTCATTAAGCACCTGCTATGTGCCATGCATGGTGCTAAGTGCTGGAATTGAATTCTACCCTTACCACAAAGTAGCTGTGTGACCCTACGTGCAAATCATCTCACTCAACTCTGTTTCTTCATCTTGTAAAATGAGGGTGATGATAGCTCCTCTCTCCTAGGAAGGTTGTAAGGATCAACAGAGACACCATAAAGAAAACTCTTGGCAGACCTTGGAGCTCCATAGCAACGCTGGGTGACTATTAGACTTAGAGAACTGCCTGAAACACCTAGAGGCTAAGTAGCCCACATTCATATGATGCTTTTATCTCACTGGATCCTCAAAACAACCCTGGGAAGTTGAGGCTTTTCTTATCCTTCATTTTGCTGATGAAGAAACTGAAAGTAAGAAGTTATATGACTTACCCAGGGTCACACACATTAGCAGGTCAGATTCGAATTCAGCCTGGTTGTGTCAGAGAGAAGCCTCGAACCCCAATCTTTCTGACTTAAATCAACAAGCATTTACTATATCTCTTGCATACTGAGCACAGTGTTGTACGTCAGCCTGCTCTGAGGTGGGCAGCCGAGGAGTGGAGACGGTCATTTCTCTTTCCTGAAGATGAAGCAGCTCTTCCACACCCAATATTATTGCCGGACCTTTAATAACCTCACATCCATCATTATTTCCAGATGTTTCAGAACATCGGATTTTGAGATTTTTGCTGAGCTTTATCTGGAGAGATGAAAGTTTTGGAGGGGGTAGGGATGGAGCTTCAGGCCTTTGGGAACAACCCAGCTCCTTTGGTGTGTAGACACTGGCCTTCTCTGTCCCAGGTACCTGGCGTGCTGAGGCTGTAGTCAGCGAAGAGTCCCTGATCGTGATCCCAAATGACATTCCCCTGCTTTGTGCAGCCACCCTGCGTGTGAATCCCTGCACTGCATACAGGATGCTGTCAGACTTCGAGCAGCTGCGACCAGGTTAGTGACCTAGGTGGAGCTATCCACAGTCTTGATCTGAGAGCCACAGGGGACCTGAGAGGGGTGCCCCCCAGCAGAATGGCCTTAACCTGCAAGCTGGGGGAGTCACTAGTGGTCCAGAGTGTTCTCCTTTCCCTCTGAACAAGAGTGCCTGCTTTCCTCTCTAACAGTGAGTCTGCAAGGAGCAGACTCTAACCTCGGTTCAACCAGGAGAATTCACCAGAGGCAGCAGGGTGCCTTCCTAGGCCCCTCCCTCTCTAACCCTGGCTTGTCTCCCTCCTCCATCCCATGGTCTCTTCTCCCACAGCTACCACTCACCTGCTCCATTTCAGGAGCCTCTTGGTCACCATCCATCCCTCAGGCAGCTCCCCTCTCCAGTTTATCCTCTGCATACTTGTCAGTGATATTCTAAAACGTAGGTCTGACCATGTCACCCCCCTGCTCAGTAAATTCTAGCTGCTTCCTCTTACCTCTAGAGTTAAATAGACATTCTCCTATATAACATTTAAAGCTCTTCACAGACCGGCTCCAACGTGCTTCTCCATCCCTGTTGTACATGATCCCCCTTCCTGCACTGCTGCAGGCCATCCTGCTGTTTCTCATCCATCAGATGCTCATTTTCCATCTCCACGCTTTTCCCAGTCTGTCTTTCCCTCCCCCACCCCCCACCATGTCTAGAACCTGTTCCCTCCTCGCCTCCACCTCTTACAACACCTTGATTTAGGCTTAGCTCAGGGGCCACCTTGTCCATGAGACAGTTCTTGATCTCCCTCCCCCTTTTCCCCAGCTGCTAGTGCTGCCCCCACCAAAATTACCCTGCATTTATTTCGTAGAGATCTTGTATAGTTTTTGGTGTGTATGTGTATGTATATGTGTTTGCGTATATCTCTATCTGTATCTCTTCGTATTTCTTTGTGTACCTGTGGTCTCCCCAATAGACTGTAAACTCTGTGTGTGTATCATGAGTGAAGCAAGGACTATTTGATGTCTCTGTATCCTCAGTGCCTCGCACAGACTTTGGTTCAAAGTAGGTGCTTAAAAAATGCCAAATGGGGGCAGCTAGGTGGCTCAGTGGATATAGCACCAGCCGTGAAGTCAGGAGGACCTGAGTCCAAATCCGGCCTCAGACCAAACACTTGACACTTACTACCTGTGTGACCTTGGGCAAGTCACTTAACCCTGATTGCCTCACTAAAAAAAAAAAAAAAAATGCCAAATGATTGATTGGCTCACTTGCCTTAGAGAAAAATAAAGCAAAGGCCTCGGTAGGAGTCCAGCTGGGGCACAGGTGTGAGGTCTTGTCCAAGTTTGCCTGGGTTGTTTCTTTATTGGTCGCCAAGGGAGGCTGCCTGATAATCTGCAGCCTATCTGAATGTTCTGGTGCTGTTGTTTTTTGGTTTGGTTTTAGTTTTGTTGGGGGGAGGGGAACATGAGTCACAATCTTAAAACAAAGAGTGATTCTCAGGAGTCTGACAGTGACTTAGGTCTGAAGAACCCACTTCTGTGTGCCATGACTTGGTGGGTTTAGCTTGACTAATTTCACGCTCCTGAAACCATTGGCTTCCTGGTTTCCAGGGGCTGTGATACCCAAGTATTTTGTCTGTTAGTGACATAAATGGGGGCCATTTCCTCCTCCTCACTATGGTAGGCATAGTTTGCCTGAGATGGAGAAAAAAATGTTTCCTATTCTTTTATTTTCAAATCTTTAATAACCATACCTGGAGATCAGCTGACTTCCCTCATCATTTCTTAAACCGGCAAAACCCAAGTAAGCCATCTGAGCCTTTCTCACCATTTTGCTTGGAATGTAAACCAAAGGAGTATCTATTTCCCTTGCTCATAAAATGGTAGAGTAGAAAGAGACCTTGAAACCTAGAATTTCAGAATGAGAAGGCTCTCAAAACAGAATGTCAGAGATGGGAGGGGGCCTTAGAATATAAACTCCCAGCTAGGAGGGCCCTTAGAACATAGAACGTAGACTATCAGAATCTAACAGGATCTAGCACGTAGGAGCTAGCAGAGCCCTCAGGAAGCAGAATTGTAGAACTAGAAGAGGTTTTGGAATGTTGGGGCTAGGAGGGAGCCCAGTGTCCACGGCATCCAAGCCTCTCGTCTTAGAGGATGGAATTTAGGCCTTTTAAAGGAAAAGTGACTTGTCCAAAGTCACACAGTGAATTAGAGCTAAAGCAGGACGCCAGTCAGCCATCATGAAAAATTAGAGTTTAGAACAGCCTCCTGCCCTCCCTCAATTAGCCAGAGGCTCACCACCTTCCAGGATATCCTCGGAACACCAAGGGTTCTCTAGTTGTTATCAGGGAGTAAGTGCCTTGAACACAGGAGGCAGGAATTGTATCTCTGGAGGAACAGCACACTTCTCTTTGTCAGTTACTCCAGACAGAGCCTGACTCCTCCAGGGCTGGACCTCGGCTGGTATCCCAAACTCTGTCTGTCTAACCCTGTCCTGTCCCTAACCAGAGTAGGTTGAGGGTGACTGCTCCTTTCTCTTTTACACAGTAGTTAGGGCAGAGGATCTTTGAATTCTCAGCAGACGGGTGGGACCCTGAGATCCTGTCTGGCTCTGAGACCCTGCCTCAAAGTGACCTAGAGGGGAGAAGTCACTGTGAAGCGTAAGCTCATGCAAGTGAGGAATCTTTTCATTCTTTGTATCCTCAGGGCCTAGCACAGTGCCTGGCATATAGTAGACCCTTAAAAATACTTGTTGACTGATTGACAGCATTTTTTTTTAAAGACATCAGGCAGGGCTTGGATGACAATGTGAAACCCACTCTGGCCCTCAGAGTCTGCGCTGGGAGGCCCTGGGCAGGCAAGATGTGGCCACTTGACTTGTGTTTCTCTTCCCATGTCTGCAGGAGACTCTATCATACAGAACGCAGCCAACAGTGGAGTGGGGCAAGCAGTCATTCAGATTGCTGCAGCCTTGGGCCTGAGAACCATCAACGTGGTCCGAGACAGGTGGGGAAGTGGGAGCTGGACTGTGGCTTATTTACTTTGTCCCAGAGTCAGTCAGAGGCTGTCTGACGTGGTCTGTCAGGCCACCCTCGAGGGTCTTTACGAGACTCTTGACTAAAGGACAGAGGCAAGGCAGCTAGCAGGCGCTGAGAAGGAGACTAGATCACAGTGAGGCCAGAAAACTGAGCACAGGCCACCTTCCAGAAGGTTCCTGAGAACCATATGTGCAAATGTGGCTCAGGTAGATTTGAGAAAGGCCGAAGGCTGCTCCCAGCTGTGGCACTAGATCACAGAAACCCCAGTGAAGCACTGGACCTAATTTCTCCCATGCTAGGGACCAAAGAGTCAGCCTTAAAGAATGAAATGGAGGTGGCTTTTAGGCAGGTTTGGTTGGATATATAAAATATCGGGAATTAGGGGGGAGGCTCCCTTTGGTGGATACTCGCTCTTATTTGTTACTCCCATCACGTGGGAAGGAACCAGGGCCCTGTTTGCAAAACAGCAACTGCTATTTGGGAATGTTGAAATGTTTTATTCTTTGAGCAAAATGAGTTTCCCAAGCCTCATGTGTCAGGAGTGTGATACAGCCCTTCTAGTGGGGGCCCCAGGGCCAGAGTCCTTGCTTCTGATCCTGGCCCTCAGCTTGTTCTGATTGCCCAAGCACCCTCAGGTAGCCTTTGCCATAATCTGGGAGCCCACCCTGGGAATGAGAGCATGAGAAGTGGGGCGTAATGACCTGTGGACCATTCCAGTGGAAGGAATAAAGGGAGTGAGCTGATTTGTTCCAAAGTGTAAATTTAACCAGAAACAGCATGAGAAATGGGGCAGGATGGAGTCATGTCCCTTAGAGCCTGGCTTGTCCCAAGGAGAGTCTCCAGCTATTGGGAATTAGGAAACCTGAAGCCCTGGCTGATGGGGCCCTGGACCGCATGGGGAGCTTTTGGGAGAATAGCGTGACTCAGGTCACTTGGTTCTGTTTGGGGCCTAGGCCGGATCTCCAGAAGCTGACAGACAGACTGAAGGACCTGGGGGCTGAACACGTCTTCACAGAGGAGGCAATGAGAAGGCCAGAGATGAAAGACTTCTTCAAGGTACTTGGGGTGGGGCTGTGTTCTCTAGACCAAATAAACTTGAGGTAGAGAAGCCAAAGGGTCAGCCTGTGGTTTGAAAAATAGCATGGCATAGTGAAGAGGGCCCTGAATTTGAAGTCTACAGACCTGGGTCCAAGGTCCCACTCTGCTGCCTACTGTCCGTTGGACCTTGGGCAGGCCAGGGCTAACCTCAGCTCCTTCAGATGTAAAAGGCAAGTACCGAGCTAGGTCACCTTTGAAGTTCCTTCTAACTAGAGCCATGATCTTGTGACTTAACAGTTCTGGGCCTCAGTTTCTCAATCAGTAAAATGGGGGCAGGGGGAAGGAAAGGGTTGACTAGAGGACCTCTGAAATCCTTTACTACTGCTCTGTGATGCCATGAAGTCTGTGATTCTTGAAAGCAGCCAGTCCTCAATTTGAAGAATTCCCCTGGCTCTTCTCACATGGAAACCTCTCTTCTTTCCTGGAGAAAGCATCTCTCCAGTTAACAGAACACATCAGCACACTCATCTTGGGGCAGAATCCCATAGGCTTTGTGAAAGACTGAAAAGAAAGTAGAAGACAAAATAAAGGAAATGTTCACAACAGAGAGCCAATGCACTGTAGGACGAGAAGACCAAAGCCTTGAGGAGGGGACTCTAGCTTGGCTTGGGGCAGAGGCCAGTCACTTCTCCTCCCTAGACCTTGTTTCCCCATCTGTACAGTGGAGTGGGGCTAGTCCCACAAAATCTCTAAGACCCCTTCCCCATCCACTAACATGCTGTGGTTCTCTGATCCCCAGCCAGACTCTGAGATCTCACCGTAGCTCAGCAGTCAGTATGGATTCATGAAAGCTTCGAATAACAAGAACACTCTAGCTCATGCTTCTAGAGCACTTTACAATCTTCAGAACACTGGCATCCATTATCTCATTAGAGGATTATCTCATCGGGAATGGACTGCCTTCCACAAACTAGCCTTGCTAGGTTCCCAGGACCTACAGGCTCATCCCCAGCTGATGAAATCTTTTGGCCACAGCAGTTTATCTGAGGCATAGATGGAAGGGTGGTACGTGAGCAGTGTCAGTACAGGAAGCAACCTTCTCAGTGAAGTCATGGGTCTTTCAAAGTATGGAAGCATGCTATCTACTATTAGTCATGAGCCAGGCCAGGCCGCAGACGACCAGCACTCTTGCAAGGGGACCCTTACCATAGCTCGCCTTTTTCAGGTCACCCGGCATTATTCCATTGCCTGTTGGGTTCAAGGCATTGTACTGGGACACAATTCTAATCTATTATTTTAAAACCTTGGATTCCATCAGGGAGAAAGCCTCTAGGCCAAGGGTGGTTCTCCTTTTCTGTGTCCTGAGCCCCTTGGGCAGACCCCAGTGAGCTTATGGGACCCCATTCTGAGAAGAATCATGTTTTTCAATGCAAATGAAATTAACATGTTTTTCAATGCAAATGAAAAACAAAATGAAATTTGTGAGATTACAAAGGAAACCAATTCCATTGAAATATAGGCATCAAAATATTTTTTAAAATAATTTTGTGAACTCGTGCTCTAGGCCAACAACTGTGTTAGATGTCAGGATTATAAATACAATGAATGAAACAATCCTTGCCCACAAAAAATTGACAGTCTGATGGAAAAACCACCAAGTATACACACACACACACACACACACACACACACACACACACACGGTGTCAGTCAATGACAAACGTTTATTAGTCATCCAGTGAGCATCTATTAAGCACTTTGTGCAAGGCACCATGCTGAGTGCTGGGGATGCAAATAAAGGCAAAAAGAGGCCTGCCCTTGAGGAGCTTACTAATGGGGAGATAACATGCAAACTATATATGTGCAGTACATGTTCACATATATGTTTACAGAGCAGATGGAAGGCACTAGCAACTGGGAGAACAAGCCTTCCTGCAGAAGGTGGAATTTGAGCCAAGTCTTGAAGGAAGCCGGGGAAGTGAAAAGAGAGAGAGGGGATTCCAGGTTTAGGGGATGGTAGCCATTGCAGAGGCAAAGAGTTGGAAGATGTGTGAGAACAACAAATGGGCCTCTGGCTTAGCTGGATCATAGAGTACATGGAGGGGGAAGGAAGGTATGAGAAGGCTGGAAAGGTGGGAAGAGCCAGGTTGTGAAGGGTTTTAAATTCCAAACAGGAGCGTATTTGATCCTGAAGGTAAAGGAGCCATTGGGACTTAGGAAGCTGTACAGCGACAAGGTCAGACCCATGCTTTAGGAAAACGACTTTGGCAGCTCAGGGGGAGATGGATTGGAGTAGGAAGAGACTTAGGGCAGGGAGGCAGATTAGATATTGCAGCAGACCAGGTAAAAGGTCACACAGTTCTGTACCAGGGCTGTGGCTATGTTGGTGCAGACGTGACACATACCGGAGATGATGTTAAGGCCAAACTTTGGATAGAAATTATATATGAACTCATAGGCTCTTATGAGATCACCAAACAAGATAATGTAGAGGGAGAAAAGAAAGGGCCTAGGCTAAGGATGGGGAACCTGCAGCCTCGAGGCCACATGTGGCCCTCTAGGTCCTCAAGTGTGGCCCTTTGAATCCAAACTTCACAAAACAAATCCCCTTAATAAATGGATTTGTTCTGTAAAACTTGGGCTCAGAAGGCTGCCCCTAAGGACTCAGAAGGCCACATGTGGCCTCGTGGCCACAAGTTCCCTACCCCTGGTCTAGGACAAAAACTTATGGGACACCCATGGATAGAGAGGATGACCAGGATGAAAATCTAGCAGAGGGGACTGGGAGGAGAGACTCCGACAGGTAGGAGGAGAACCAGGTGAGTATCCAGGAGAAAAGCCTGTTCAGCGGTGTCAGAGGCTGTAAAGAGGTCAATGAGGATGAGGATGACCGAGACAGGCCTTCTGATTCGTCAGGTAAGAGAATTGGTAACTTTGGAGAATAAGCGGGAAAAGAGTAAGTACAAAGCAGTGAGGTTCAAGGTATTTGGGAGGGATCAGGAAAGGCTTTTAACTGCACCTTGAAGAAAGAGGTTTTCTGTGAGGCAGAGGTGAGAAGGCATGCATTCCAGGGATGGGGCACAGTCAATGCAAAGACTTGGAGATGGGAGGAGTGTCACAGAGGGATACAGAGAAGGCCAGCATGGGTCGTAGAACGCAGGCAGGAGAGTAACATTCAGTGATGCTAGAAGCCAGCTTGTGAAGGACACAAAGGACTGAGAGTCAAGGAAGGAACCGGGTTTGAGCATTTATTAAATGCCTGTTGTGTGCCAGGCACCGAGCATTCAAAGACAAACATCCAGCCTTCTGACCCTTACTCACTGTGTGACCTTCCTGAGCCTCAGTTTCCCCATCTCCAAAGTGGAGATAATACCTGTAGAACCTACTTTCCCGAGTCATTGAGAGGTTCAAATAAGACAGTATATGCAAAATGCTTTATCAGCCGTGTAAAGGAGTAGGAGCCTTGTACATTTGTTGTTGTTGAGCCATTTCAGTTGTGTCCAACTCTTCCTGACCCCATTTGAGGTTTTCTTGGCAAAGATACTGGACGGGTTTGCCTTTTCTTTCTCCCACTCATTTTACAGATGAGGAAACTGAGCCAAATAGGGTGAAGCGACTTGCCCAGGGCCACACAGCTATTCAGTGTCTGAGTCCGGATTTGAACTCAGACAAATGAGTCTTCCTGGCGCTCTGTGCCCTGTGGTGCCACCTAGCTGCCTTATATATATCAGCTATTATTCACAGGACTCCTCACTGTCACATACCTGACAATCAGGCCTCCAGCCCCTGCTTGAAGGCTTCCAGTGAGGGAGAACGCCAGCTGAGGGCCCAAGAGGGCACCAGTAAATGCTTAGCAAGAGGCTGATCGCCTCCCACGTCAGTCCATTCCACTCAGACAGCTCTGATCCTTCTGAAGTTTTTCTGGTCCGAGAGCCTCAGTTTGCCTTTTGGTAACCTCTCCCCATTGTTCTTGGTTCTCCCTCTCCAGAACCAACAGAACAAAGCTGATTCCCTCTTCCACACAACAGCCTTCACCTGAATCACATGATGCTTTGGCAGCCATCGGTGCAGCCCGCACTCAAGCAGAGTGTCAGGGCTGTCCGGTGCAGGGGAGGCCAGCCCCAGTCCACTTTCGGGCAGCCTTCTCTTCTCCATATATTTAAATGATGATTCTCTCTACCTACTGTAGGTGTAGGACGGCATTCTTGAACTCTGTTTGATAGGAGCCTTAGTCTGTGTCCCTTACAGACGTTAAGGGCCTCCTGTAACTAACCCCTGCCTACGGTGAGCTTACAGTCTAGAGTCAGATGGTCAGAGCTGGGAGAGACTTTCAGATCATCCGGTTCCTTCATTTTACAGTGGAGGAAACTGACGCACGGAGAAGGGGAGTGACCTGTCCAGAGTCACACAGAAAGTCCTCAGCAGAGCCAGGGCTGGAGCCCAGGTTCCTGCTTCCAGGTCCAGTGTTTATCACTGTGCTCTGCAGCCTCAGGATGGGGGAGATCAGGCGAGAGCTGCGTGTGTTACAAGCCACAGAGAAGCACTGAGGATGTGACTTCAGGACCAGAAAGTCCAGGGGAGATCCAGGCAGAGGAAGGACAGGGCCCAGGGTTAAAAGAGGTGATGGCCGTGGGCTGGCGAACGGCTGTCATGGGCAGAGCATGGGCATTTATCATTGTTCTTTCTTGCCGCTCCTTCTGAAGATGGCTTCTGGACCAAGTGGTTTCAGCGTCATTGCAGGGATAGGGAGGTGTGAGAACCCTGTTTGGGTCAAGCCCCCAACAGCAGTTGACCCACTCTGCCTGTTCCTTGTTTTTCAGAACTTTCCCCGGCCTCAACTTGCGCTCAATTGTGTCGGTGGCAAGAGCTCCACAGAGCTGATGCGGCACCTGGGGTGAGTGAGTGAGTGCCTGGCTGCTCACAGATCAGAAACAACCAGCTGACAAGTAGATGAGCCTTGCCAGCAGCTGGCATCTGAGCTTAGAGCAGCCTGATTCAGACTGTCCATAGCATTATGGTGCCATGCCAGGCGCTGAGAAGATACCATAGGTGGACACAACAGCCCCTGCCTTTAAGGAGTTCTCATGGTCCAGTTAGTACACCAGAAAGGAAGGCCACGCTGAACCGTAGATGCAGGCTTATAGTGGGAAACCCAGAGCCCAGCTGGACAGTGAGGCTATGGAGGCAGCCCGCCTCTGCGTCTGAGTCATCTGGCCGACTGAGGCACCCAGAATCCTTTAGCAGAGGCTCAGTATTGGACCCCCGAGCTCAAGCACCAACCCTCCCATTAACCTGCCATGTGACCTGGGGCATGTCACTTCCCTCCATGTCTTTCACTGTCCAGGGGATCTTAACTCTTTTTGTTTGCCTTGTTTTTTGTTAATTCTTTTTGTTAAGGACCATTTGGCCATCTAGCAAAGGCATACACTCCTTCTCAGGATACTGTTTTTAAATAACTGAAGGAAATGCCAAATTTCATTTAGGAATTAGTACAGGGGTGGCCTCGAGGCCACAGGTTCCCCACCCCTGGATTAGTAAAAATCAAGATGTATTTTTTCCCCCATCCAAATTCATAGACCCCCTGAAATCTATCCAGAGATCCCCAAGGGCCTCAGGTTAAGAATCCTTGGACAGATGGTCTTGAAGGCCCCTTCCATATGTAATTCTCCTTCCTCTTCCTGGTGAGTCTCAGAATTCAGCCATTGATCTTAGCTAGAAAATATCAGAATGATCCAATGGGAAGAGCCAAGGTCAGTGAAGGCAGAGTATACTTCTGCCTCCACCACCAACCGGTGGTGTGACTGAGATCAGTCCATCAAGCCATCTCTTAAGCATTTAGCATGTGCCAGGCACTGCAAAGCACTCAAGATACAAAGACAAAAACGAAATAGTCCCTGCCTCAAGCAGCTTACATTACTAAGGGAAAGAACAGGTACATACATAAGTAAACATGAAATATATACAAAGTAGACTCAAAGTAATTTTAGTTGGGGGCAGTGAAAGGGTGGGGACTGAGGGAAGTCCTCAGACAGCAGGTGGTGCTTGAGCTGAGCCTTGAAGGACGCTAAAAATTCTAAAAGACCTAGGTAAGGAAGGAATATGTTCCAGGCCTAGGGACAACCTTACAGAAACACAGATGTGGGTAGTCTGGCTAAAACAAAGAGTGCCCAAAGAGGAGTAGTGTGTATGGAGCCAGAGTATGAGGGCTTTAAATGCCAAATAGAAGAATTTGCATTTTGTCCCAGAGGCAATAGGGAGCCACAGAAAGCTTTGTCAACCAGGGTGTGGCTTTGCCAGATCTGGGTTTTAGAAATATCACGTTGGCAGCCATGTGGAAGATGGATTGGAAGGATGATGGGCCTGAGACCAGTTGGGAGGCCTGTACAGCACCCCAGACCAGAAGTAACGAAGGCATGAGTGTAAAGAAGAGTGCAGGTGGGAGAGCCTTGGGAGTAGAAACCACGAGACTTGGCAGCTGGTTGGATACAGGGGACGAGAGCAGAGTCAGGGATTATCTTAGGGTTACGAACCTAAGTGACTGTGAGGGTGATAAGAACAGGAGAGGAGCAGAAAGAGCAAGCTGCGTCTGGGGCCCGCTGAGTGGAAGAGGCCTACTTTAGATGGGTATTTATCCTCTCTGTATTTTGGGTTTTGGTTTTTGTTTTTTCATCAATAAGAGAAAGTTGACATAACCTGCTTACCATTCCCACCTCCCCAAACGTTGACTGACACGAAGTTTGTGAAAGAGTATTGAAAAATATAAAGCATTAAACAAATGTGAGGCAGTATTGGTATTAAATTTGGGAAGGATAATCCTTTAAGAGGTTTAAAATTCTTCCAGATTTCATGGGAACTGAATGACGCATGGAGATGTTGCAAATGTTGTAAGATTTACTTCCCATGAAAGCCAATGACATGGGATTAACTCAAATAACGAACTAATGGGATTGTAATAGTTGATCAGTAATTATAAGTTGTTGGAATTTCCTACACAGCCTCTGCTTCCCTCTCTCCTCCATAAGGCGTTCCAGGGTATCTGGAACCCGAAAGTCAAAAATAGCTTTCAGTCGTCTCACCCCAGTGCCCTTCCTGATGTGTGTTGAACCTAGCTCCTCTTAGGACGGTGAGCTCGATTGCCAGAGTCTTAGTGTTGGCTGAGAGCATCTTTTGTTAGCTCCCCTGCTTTGGAAAATGGGATGAGGGAGCACCCCCTCTGCCCCACCCCACCCCTGCAGTGCTGATCTAGGCAGGCAGTATCAAACAAACGAGAAGCTTTGATCCCTCTCTTGAAGGGCTCAAAACGTAATTGAAGAAAAGAGCAGGATACACTAACAAGAGTGATGCTTCTGAAGCTGTGGGTGAGAGCAGATGAAAACAGCTGTATTCCCCTTGATGCCCTGAGTGTTCAAAAAGAGGTGCACGTGGATCACAGTTTGACTAATTGAAACATTTTCCATGGGAGCTAGGTATCAAAAGGGAAGCTAAGTTCTTTTGAACGGTGAATAATTCCTTCCCACTCCTTGTTACTGATTTGTAAGCTTGGTTATTGTTCCTCTGAAGTCCTCTTCTGATGCCCCATCAGCATATGTATGAAGGCAACCCATCCAGCTGGAGGGCTCTGAGTGTCAGCTCAGGTGTGGATCGTCAAGAGGTCTCTCACCCAAGGACCAGACCAGCCGAACCAAGGACGGAAGCACTGGAAGGGACCCCAAAGGCCTTCTCATCCACCTCATTCTCCATCAGCCCCAACCAGTGTTCAGCCAGCCTCTACTTGAGGACCTAGAGGACAGGAGAAAGCGCCCCCAGCTCCTAGGTAGCCCATCCCATTTGTGGATCACTCTCATTACTAAGAACTTTTTCCTGCTGTCCAGCCCGGAAGCTGCTTCTCTGCAGCTTCTACTCATCACTCCTACTTCTGCCTTTTGTGGCCAAACCAAATAATGCTACTCCCTTTTCCATGTGCTTTAAAGATTGAAAAGCAGGAAGCACATTCTCCCCTAAGTCTTCTCCACGTTCAACATCCTTGGTTCCTTCTGCTGAACGTCATATGCCATGAAATTGAGGCCTTTCACATTTCTGAAGACCTTCTCTGGATGCTATCTCACTTATCCATGACGTTCCTAAAATGTGGTCCCAGGACTGAGTACAGGGTTCTAGCCCTGGACTCCGCGTGGAATTACCATCTCCCTAGTCCTGGACGCTTAGCCATGTCTTACTTGGCTCCCATGTCTTACTGTTGACTGACACTGAGATTGGAGGCCTTTAAAACTCCCAGATCTCTTTCGGACCAACTGTTATCTAAGCACAACTGGGCCATCTTGTCTAGTTGGCCTTTTGAACTCCAGTGTAAGATTTTAACTTTCCTCTCTATTACATTATATCTTATTCAGTTCAGCCCAGTGTTCCAACTTCTCGGATTTTTTTTGAATCCTGGCTCCAGAAGTTTCCAGATCTCCCTGATGCCTCTAGGATAAAATACAAACTTGTCTGTGACTAGTGTATTAGCTGTCCTTCTTAGCTTTGTATAGCGTGCACATTAGAAAGATGGGCCATCTTTACCTTCATCCAAGCCATAAATAAAAACATTAAACAAAATAGGGCCAGCTCAGTCCTCATCCTTCTTGTCCTCTCTGCAGCCTTCGACGTAGTTGGTCACCGTCCTCACCCAGATACTCTCCTCTCTAGGTTTTCTTGACCCTGGCCTCTCCCAGTTCTCCTTCCCAAATCACTCATCCATTTCCTCCTTCTGGGCAGGTGGTCTGTGGTAGACTCTGATGACAAAACCACTCCTGTTTCTACCTGTGTCGATCTTCACCTAAATGCTCTCTCTCTACCACGCTACTTCCCCTGTCTCTGTTCCTGGACTTCCTCACATGAGTATATGTAATGCTGCCTTTTTTTTTTTAAAGGTAGGGCAGCCCAGAGAGCATGAGGCTTCCCCAAACGATAAGCATTTAATTCACTTTGAGTTCGTCAGGTTAAGTCAGTTCATTAGCTCGTAGAAGCAGAGACTCATAGTGAGAAGGGACTGGCAAGCTCTAAGGCCGTGCACTCCCACCCCACCCCAAAGCAGAAGTCCTGCTGCTGCAGCCCCAACAAGTCAGCTCAGTTCAGCAGGCGATCATTAAATGGCCAGCAGCTGGGAGGGATACGTAGAGGCAACACCCAGTTTTGGAGTGGAGAAGTGGGAAGGGGCAGAATAAATGCTTATTAGTTGAATTTTTTTTTAAAAGAAAACACCCAAAGTGTGCAGTGCTGCCCCATTCCTCTTAGACCAGGTATAAATTTCCAGAGCCATTTTCCATTCATGAGTCCCATCCCACCAAATCTCAGCAAAACCTTCCTCTTCATGGTAAGATCTCCCATCCATCTTGCTTGTCACATGCTCTGTGCATTTAGAGAGAGACGGCTGATCTGTCAGCCCTAGGGTTTAGTGACGTATCCTTTCTTCAGTATGAATGGCTTGGCCTCACTGCCCAGCTCTTGTCTTCTTCCAACATTGCAGCAACTCTTGGTGGTAGCTAGCTTGGTGGGTATAAGTTGGCGGTCTTCTCGTTCCTCCTTTTCAGTTGAAAGGCCTTTTGATTGTATTCATATGACTCTAGGCAAGTATATATTTTTTTAAAAAATATATATTCTTAATCCTTTCTGGATCTCTCTTCCTCTCTCTCTCACACACACACACACACACACACACACACACACACAAAAAACTCTCATGCACCTACCCCTGGAATTGAACCCACCTTAGTAACAAAGAAAACATTCAAGCAGAAATAACCAGTACAGTGGCCATTTCTGATAACATATGCAAAATTTTGCATAAAGCAGGGATCTTAGCTAGGATCATTGAGCCACAGCTGGAAAGAATCTCAGAAGAATTCTAATTCAGCCACTCATTTTGCAGACGAGGAAACTGAGACCCTAAGAGGCCGAGTGACTCACAGGATCATGGGATGATAACTTGAAGCTGAAGGACCTCAGCAGCCATCTAGTGTAGAGGTGTCTAACTCACTGCCTGGGGGTTTTCTAAATCAGTCTGCACCAGCAAAGATCCATTTCGGTTTGAGTTTGATGCCAGTGACTAGTCCAACGCCATCCCCTCATTTGACAAATGAGGAAACTGAGCCCCAGACAGGGTAAATGATTTATCCAGGGTCACACAGGTAGCAGGGTCACATCAGGGGCACAAAAGAAGCAAGGGCTCTTCCCATCGTGCCAGGCTTCCCACTAGACAAGGATCATTATCTCTTCTTTGGGACCAAGATTGGTTATTCCCAAATATGTTTTTACCAGCCTTTATGAGATACATTCCATCCCACACCGAGAGCCTGTCAGCCAGATATTTGGAAGTTAATAGAATCTTTGTACTAGTATTGGGTTTTGCTAAAGGCAGACCTGCACTGTGCAAGCTATAAACCAAAAAGAGGGATCTGCCACGTATATGCTGCCTTCAAGGTTGGAGAGCACTTTGTATACACCCCATCATTTAATTTTTACAACTAGGTAGTGAAATACTATAGGTATTATTGTCCCCATTTTACAGATGAAGAAACAGAGGCTCAGAGGAAATAAGCTAGTAAGCATCTGAGGCAGAATCTGAACCCAGGGCTTCCTAACTCCAAGGTCTGTGTCATATCCACTTCACAACACTGACTCCTTCACTAGCACAATGCCTAACAGGAAGGGCAGCTAGACGGTGCAGCAGATAGAGTACCAGTCTAGGAGTCAGGAAGACTCATCTTCTCGAGTTCAAATCTAGCCGTGCGACCCTAGACAAGTCATGTCACCCTGTTTGCCTCAGTTTCTTCATCTGTAAAATGAGCTGGAGAAGGAAACACCAAACCACTCCAGGATATTGGACAAGAAAACCCCAGTGGGGTCACAGAGAGTGGAACACGACTGAACAATAGCAGAGTAACTATTTAATAAATGCTGGTTGACTGACTGACTCAGGCAAGGTATCTCTGGACCAGCCCTTTCTGGTTGCCCCGCCTCGGCCCAATTTCCTCATTTTGGAGGTCCTCTGATTCATCTCCCACCCCAGTGACCTCAGTAGCATGCCTGACAGGCATCCAGCCACGGGTTGAATGTTTCTTGTAATAGGCGTGCACGTACAGCCTTACAAGACCTGTCCATCTGTAGCTAAAGAGCCAGGGTTCTTGTTAAAAAAAAAATAGGCATTTTATTTTCAGTTCTGTTAGCAAGTGCACATAGATTTGTATTCAGATATATTATCAGGAGCACAAGAAAAATAGTCATGCACGATGAAGCCCCACCACCCAGTCTATCAGTGATTGTACGAAGTGTGGCTGAAATACACCGTGCTCCACTGTTCACCTGCTGTGGGTGATGTTCGGGTTCTCTTGGTCCCTTTTGCCTTTACTGTGTACGTAATGGGGATTTATTGTTGTTGACTTTAACCACAAAGCTGTGAGTGCATGGTGTTCTTTTAGCTCTTCCTCCCATTCTGCTTCGAACAAGGCATCCTATAATTCTTTGGATTATTTGTCGTTTCTTATGGCACAATGATATTCCATTACATTACCCTGCCATAGTGATTTGTTCAGCCATTCCAGTCCATGGACACCTAGCTTATTTCCAGCTTTTTGCTATTAGTGCAACTCACAGTTCTCTTGGACAAGGTCTCTTTTTCTATCCATATTCGCCTTGAGATATTATCCCAGTGGTGGTACTACCGAGACAAAGGGTCTGCACATTTTTGTCACTGATGATGTAATTCCATATCGCTTTCCAGAAGTGTTGGGCCAGTTCAGGATTCTACCAAATAGTGTGCCTATTTTACCACAGCTGAACCTGCAATTTTATTATCTTTTATTGCATTTGCCAGTTTCATAGGTAGCGGGCAGTCTCAGAATTGTCAGCTCATAATTTTCTCTAGAGGCAGTGTGACTTAGTGGATGGTACGCTTCACAGAGAATCAGGAAGAGTTGAGTTCGGTCCATCTCTGACACTTAACTAGCTGTATGACCCTGGGCAAGTCACATCACCTCTTCCTGCCTCAGGCAACTCCCTAGGACTTGGCTGGAGTTCCCAGCATTGATAAGGTGCTGGGAATTTCTTCCGATTTTGAGCTTTTTAGGAATGTATGAAAGATGTGATAATCCCTTGCCCTTTGTTTTTCAATCTTATGGTTTTGAAGAGATCTTGGAGAGAGAATTTTTAATGCTGAGATGTGGTCAGAGCTGTGTCTTAGACCATCCTCATTCAGCGCCCTCATTTTACAGATGCCCAAGAGATGGGAAGGAGCCTGTTTCAGGTCACACAGGTTCCTAGTAGTAGCAGAGCCAAAACTTGTATTTGATGTCCTGATGCTCTTCCCACATCATCCTTCTCCCTTCTGTGATCTGTCACTCATGTTGGCTTTGTTGACCAGTGAGCTAGCGTGGATAAGTGAGGCCTGGAGATCAGGCCATACCAGGATCTGTGGGAGGAACTAGGACTGTGGGACCTAGAGAAGATGTAGAAAGAGCGTGATAGCTTGCTATCCTGACCTATTTGAAGGGCTGTAATATGGAAGAAGGATGAGATATGTTTGCCTGGCCTCCCAAGAACTAGGACAAAGCTTGGCTGTGGAAGGGAGACAGCTGCCTTTGGAGGCAGAATGGGCTGGCTCAGGACGTCACGAGCTCCCTGTTCTCAAAGGCTCTTCAGGTGGAGGCCAAATGACGACTCATTGGTGATGCTGTAGAAATCTTTAGGTAAGGGTTCAGCACCATGTCCTAAGGTCCCTTCCTCAGGGATCATCCAATTCCATCAGTTTCTAATTCTAAGAACCGGGGAGCAGGCATCTAGGGGAAGTTGAGGAATGGAGCTTAGTGTCACTCCTGATTCGGGAGGTATTTGACTGCTGTAGTGCGGTGACCGTCCATTAACCAACAAGTATTAATTATGGGGCAGTATATAACAACAGCACCTTCAACATAGTAGGCACTTAATAACTTAGTTGAATTCAGCAAACATGAAGTGCCTACTGTGTACAAGGATCACCATGCTGGTCAGTGGGTAAAGACAAAAATAATGCTCTCTGCCCCCCCCACCCCTTATCTCTGGTATTTCTTCAGGAACGGCGGCACCATGGTGACCTATGGAGGGATGGCCAAGCAGCCAGTCACAGCCTCAACGGTGAGTGGACACGGGGTTTCCTTGCCATCCGGAAGTGGAAAGGGAGTCAGGGGAGAGCCGGGCTCCCTCCCCAACACCTCAGACCAGGCCCCTGCATTTCCATCTTTCGCGCTAATGTTCTGCTCTTTTCTGAGCCCTGTTTCTCTTCCTGTGTCCACAGAGCTCATTCATTTTTAAGGACATCAAGCTCCGGGGCTTCTGGATGTCTCAGTGGAATAAAGACCATGGTACAGGTGAGTGAGGAGTGACGTGAGCTCAAGCCAGGGGGATGATGGGATGGTGGGGGGTGCCTGGGGAAACCCAAGGAGGCCTGCTGGGCCCTGGGGGAACATGGCTCTTTTTGCTTTCATTCAGTCAACATTAAGCTCCTACTGTGTGCCAGCCAGCAAGGAGGCCTGGCATAGAGAAGAGACAATTGGTCTCAAAGACAAAACGACCTGGGTTCTAGTGCTGCTTCTGACATCCTGGTTGTGTAACCCTGAGCGTAACACTCAGCCTCTCCTTGTTCTAGGCAGCTCTTTAACACCATGGGATTGCAGAGAGGGTGACATTACCCACATTAATAGAGGACCTTTCCTTACCTGGAAGTTCCCTATAATCAGGGAATCACAGGGTCACTCCTTGTCCCTGTTTCCTCTGTTCCAGCCACTGTACCAGGTGCTGGAGATGCTAGGACAAAACTTCATTCTTCTGGGGCAGAATAAACCCAAACAGGAAGCACCCTAGACCAGAACCTGAGATTGTTAGGTCTCCAGGAAGTGAGCTTGAACTTAAACCCAAGCATTAGATCTGAGGGAAAAGCATTCCCCAGCTGGCCTTTGCTTACCCTCCTCCTGTCTCTTCCTGACACCCAAGGCCAGCCCCAAGAACCCAAGTGCAAGGGAAGGATGTACAGAGGATTGGGGGCTATGGAAAGGGATGCCAGGGGCTTAGTTCCTGCAGTAGCAGGAGAGCCTTGGGCGCTCCAGGAAAGCTGCTTATGCATCCTTTGCATTCATCCCACGGCTCTTCCTTCCTCCCCTCCCTGCTCTGTTGGAGGAATCCTTCCCTGATCGCTCTGGGTTGCTTTGCTGTGAGCTGACCCAGCCAGCACTCTTGGCGTCCTGCATGGTGCTGATGATAGCTCCATTCACTGTGCCTGTCCTGGGGACAAAGAACTTTGGGTGTCCTCTCTCAGCTGATCTTGCTGGTAACTCCCGAAGATATAAAGTACAAGGACTTCACAGACAATTCTCTCCATTTTCCAGATGAGGAAACAGAGGCTCATAGAGGAAAAAGACTTGCCCAAGGTAGTAGAGCCTCGACGTGAACCCAGGTGTATTACCACCATCTGGTATTGCATGCTGCCTTCCTGGGGGAGGGGGTGCCCAGGCAGTGTTCCCCCATCTGGCAAGCCAGGGCTTCCACAGTGGATAGAGCACTGGACCTGGAGCCAAGAAGATCTGAGTTCAAATCTGACCTCGGGCACTTCTGGCTGAATGATCTGGCAAGTCACTTCACCTCTGTTTGCCTCAGTTTCCTCAACTGTAAAATGGAGATAATAGCACCTCCCTCCCAGGGTTGTTGTGAGGATCAAGTAAGGTGATATTTGTGACAGCACTTAGCCCCGTGCCTGGCACACAGTAGGCACTGTATAAATGCTTATTCTCTCCCCCACACCCCCCCCACGTGCTAAATCTTTACCTCACACCTGGCTGCCTTCCCATCCACATCAGGGTCAAAGTTGTTTCGCCAAAGTCCCATTGCAACCACTGCCTTTGGGACCTCCCCCTGCTGGGCTGCAGCTGGTCCTTTCTCTGTGTTTTACTTGTCTCTTCCCTCTTGAGATCCCTCAGGAGATGGGGCGGGGCGGGGGGGGGGGGCTTTATAGAGAAGAGATATCTCTCCTGAAACTGTGGGAGAGGAGGAGCAGGTGAAGATACGCCGACGTCCACGAGTGCAGGCCAGCTCAGGAGCCTGCAAGGGCCTGGGTAGGCGAGGGGAGACCATCAGCTGCAAGGAAGCCTGGGCAGCTGCCAACCCCTTCGCCACTTCTGCTTCTTTCTTTGGGGGAGAGGCCCTGTGGACGTGGCAAGGTTTAGGAGGTGATAAATGTCTCAAAACCAACTGAGCTAATAGTTTTTAAAAATTACTGTGAACTTGACAAACATAACAGCCATGGATATTTCCATGTATAAAGAACAGGAAGACAGAATTCTAACCGTGAATATTACCTACAGCTTGCCACTTTCAGTAGACAGCGCTGGACCCCTTAAGTCCTAGTACAGCTTCACCCCTTGACAGCCTATCGCGTCTGACACAGTGCTGCCCCCACTGCCCTGCTTGTCTTCCTTCCTTCTTTCTTCTGGCTAGTTTTGACATGTTTCAGTGATGGTCTTTGCTTTCTTTTTTTTTTTATTTTTCTTCCACCATTTTCTGTCCACCAAAAAAAAAAAGTCCTCCCTTAAAACAAATATAGTCAAACAAAATAAATTTACATATTGGTTATGTCTTAAGGTGGAAAACTAGATTTTTTTTTTTTTAAACAGGAGAGAGGTAGGCAAGTTAAAGGAATTTCCAATTTCCTCGAAGGTCATTTGAAGACAATACTGATTTTACACTAGATACCCCAGAGGTGACACAGAAAACGATGAAGACATGCGTGGAGGGGGATGGATTGAGCATTGGATTTAGAGCAGGGGGCCTGGGTTCCATTCCTGCTTCATTTAGTCTATATTTGTGTGATCTTGAGCCAGTCCCTTCCCTTCTTCCAGCCTCAGTTTCCCCATATAATTAGCTGTCCATTGCAGAGCCCTGTGACCCTTCCCACATCCTCTCTCCTCTCACAGACCAGTTCAAGGAGATGATCCTCACCCTGTGTGACTTCATCCGCCGAGGGCAACTCACGGCTCCGTTCTGCTCTGAGGTCCCACTGCAGGATTACCAGGTAGCTCTGGAGGCCTGCATGAAGCCCTTCATTTCCTCAAAGCAGATTCTCATCATGTAACAAGCCAGGAGGATGAGTAACTGGGCATCATGAACCAGTGGTGGAGGAGTGTGGCAGGCCCCTCATCTCCTGTATCAGTTCTTGGCCACGTGCTCTCTCCACCACAGCCTCTCTTTGCAGCATCACTGCTCCCCAAGGCGAGCCTGATTCTGAGATTAGGAAACAGAGGCCTTTAAGCCATCACCTGGGCACCAGCCCTGGGCTTCACTAATAAAGTGTGATTCTTCTTAAACAGAAGCAGTCTTTTCCCACTGGGTATCAGGGTGCTGGCTATTTGGAGGCATTCACAAGGTCTCACTTTGCTTTTCCCCACTTACTGCCCAGCATGGAGAATCTTAAAAGTACCAGAAGTTTGGCGTGCAGGGGAGGACACTTCATGATCCAGCTCTGAGCTTTGTAGTTTGGGAGCAAGGTGGGCATGTGACCAAGAGGGACAGAAATGCTAAGCTGAGGGATAGGAAGTAATCGTGGAAGCCAGAGGTGGTCAGGCCTCATTATATGTCCTCTAGAGCCTAGATGCTGGTCCACCCTCTGGAAGAGGATAGAGAGGTAGAGTTAGGGATTAGAGTTCCCTGCCTCTGTCTTGACAGGGAGAGCGGAGTGTCTCTGGGTATCCCCCACCTTCCCCCACCTTCCTTGGCTTTATAACGTCGTGGTCTGTGTGGCCTCACTCCTCAGACTCAGGGCTGCCTGGTTAGAATTCCTGACTGGGTAGCAGAGCCGCTGAGTTCTCTGTAAAGCCCCACCTAGCCATGTCTCAGAGGATGTGACCCCCAGCACTCATTCCCCCTGAAGCCTAGCCTCTAGCCTCCCGAGCCTTAGGGGGAAGGAATGTGATTGCAGGCCGAGTGGAAGAGGAGTCAGACAGAATTGGGAGGCCACTCCCTCTGTTCTCCCCCATCCATGCCTGACCTCTCCAGGGCCTAAGTTCCAGAAGTACCTTCACTTGGGGGAGGGGTAGTATGTGAAATCAACCCTGAAGGGTTCTGACTATTATCAAGACTGACAGAAGAGAATCCTCCCCTGCACAGGCAGGGCAGCTTCCTACCTTTCTCTGTGTGATGAGCTCCAGGGGCATCTCTGCCAGGGTGCGGTCAGAGCATGGGCGTGTATGGAGTTTCCACAACGTCTTGGCTATTAAAGCTGAAAACTGCATGAAGACTTTGGGGAACACCTTCCCTAGAGCTCTGGAGGCCCTGTCCTGCCTGAAAAGTGACCATTTTAGAACTGACAGGGAAGGTCCCTCTCCTCCCCAGCAGTGCTTGCATCTGCCCAACCACAAACACTGAAGGGATGTCTGATGTGCGCAGAACCCTGTGGCAAGTGCCCAGAGGGAGTTCATTGAGAAATGAGTTAGAGCTGCCCTCCAGGAGTGTAGGGAGGCAAAGTACCCACAGAAATAGCAAGGCTACAAAGTAGATGACATCATCAGAGGTTTAAAAAAAAAAAGTGCTGTGAGTTTTCAGGAAGGAGATGAGAGAAAGGTTCTTGGCGGGTGAGGAGGGCTGGTAAGGGATTTGAACAAGAAAGCTGGGCCAGGGGCAGCTAGGTGGCACATGAAAAGAGCACTGGCCCTGGAATCAAGAGGACCTGAGTTCAAATCCAGCCTCAGACACATAACAATAGCCGTGTGACTTTGGGCAAGTCACTTAACCCCAATTGCCTCACCGGGGAATGGGGGGGGGGGGGAGAAGAATGCTGGGCCAAATTCTAAAAAAGAGGGATTTAATAGGAATGAATGTAAAGTCTGATACTTGTGTTCCAGAACCCATATTCACGTATACAAGGTGGGAGAGGCATGGCAAGTCAGCAATTTGTCTGAAAAAGATCCAGGGGGTCTTAGTGGGCTCTGGCCTCGGTACATGGCCAGAAAAGCTGGCCGTGTTAAGAGGCATAGTATTCAGGACTATGGAGGTGTTAGACCTGCCCTCATCTGCCCTGGGGAGAACATAGGAAGAGTATTGTGTTTAGTTTCAGGGGGACACTGATAAGCCAAAGGGTGGCCAGGATGATGAAACAACTCAGAATCATGGCATCTGAAGATAAATTGGAGCAGGATGTTTACCTGGAGAAGGGAAGATTCTTGCTTCAGGCTTGATGTCAGAGGAAGCTTCCTAGTAGCTAGACCTATGAAGCAGTGCAAAGGGCTGCTTTGTGGGGAAGGACCTCTTCCTCCTTGTGAAGGTCTTCACACAATGCCTACATGATTACTCGGTTGTGTTGATGAAGGTTCTGTTGCAGGATTCCTGTTTGGGTAGAGATTGGACTCTGTAGATGGTGACCAAAGTCCCTGCTGACTCTTGAAATTCTGCATTCATGGGCAGTTTAGTTGGAGCGTCAGGAGATGTGGCTTAAAAAGTATGTTGGGGCCAGACCATAAAGGGCATTCAGTGCTATGCTAGGAACTGGGCACCACTGAAGGTTTTTGAATAGACAAATAACCTGATCAGAGTTTTGCTTTAGGAAAATTATTCTAATTGTATATATTGGATAGATAGGAAGAGAGAGAGACTGGAGGTGAAGAGAACAGTTAAAACTCTATTGCAGCCTCCAGGCAAGAAGTAATGGAGACCTTGACTAGAGTAGGGGCAAGTGGAATGAGAAGGAAGGGAGGCCGAGGTAGAATTGACAGGTTTTGTACAACACTGAATATCATCAGGTGGCCTGGGAGGGGAATTAAGTTAATGACTAGAAAGTCGAATCAAAGGAGCGGATTTGGGGAGAAAGATGATGAATTTGGTTTTGGACATTTAGTGTTTGAAGTGTCAGTGAGACATCCAGCTGGAGCTGCCCATTAGAGTCTTGGAAATGTAAGGCAGGACCGTGGGAGAGTGATCAGAGCTGCAATGCTAATTTTGAGTCAGCCACATAGTGGAAGCCTCAGGAGCAAATAAGAGAACCAAGGGGAAGAAGTAAAAAGGAAAGAAGGTCAGAAGAGCTTTCATAACATCCAAGCATTTCTCCAACCATAGGACAGCATTCCAGTGTTCCATGAAATTTTAATGAGATTTCTGTGAAAATTCTAGTCATACTTCCCCCCTCTAAAACTTCAAAACCTGGAATGATGTATGGATCCAAATACCCATTACATATGGCAATATGCAGAACAAAATTAGCTGAATTTCCTCTCATTTCTCTTTGTATTTGCCCTGAGTAGGCTTTAATCCTTTTCCTTTTGTGACATCAACTCCTCTGACAGTCTAGTAAAGCCTATGGATCCCTTCATAGAATGAGATTTTTTAATGCATAGAATTACAAAGGAAAGCAATTATACTAAAGTACAATTATCAAAATACTAAAAAAAAAAAAAATCAGAGCCCAGGTTAAGCAAACCTGTCCTAAAGCCATTTCCCGTCTTCCAGACAAGCATTTATTTAAAGATAGCAACACGTTTCAAGCCTTGAGTTGTTTAATGGCCACATTAAATTAGTTCAGAAAACAGGCTATGTCTAGGAAACCAAAATGAGAGATCAAAGAGGTGAGAGACATTTGAGAAGTAGGAGAAAGTGTTATCACAAGCCAAGGGGAGGGAGAGAGGACAGGATATGTGATGGGACAGAAATGCTGCTGGAAGGGCACTGGGGATGAAGACTGAGAAAAGGCCATTGGGTTTGGTGATTAGGCCGTCATTCATGACCTTTGAGAGAACCACTTCAGGAACCCAGTGAAGATGGAAACCAGCTTGCATGAGGTTGAGGAGTGAGTGGGTGATCAGGACATACAGGCAGCAAGTGAAAAGATTTGTTAAAGTTATTGACAGTTCATGAAGGGAAGGAGAAATTTAAGATGGCAGCTTGAGAGGGTAGTGGGGTCAAACAAAAGTGGGTATGGTTTTGTTTTCAAATGGGAAACACTTGAACGTGTGTGTGTGTGTGTGTGTGTGTGTGTGTGTGTGTGTGTGTGTGTGT